ATCACCAGTAAACACCACCTCAAGGTAAGTACACTAATCAACCTGTTTCACTGATTCGCTTATCCGCAGAGCGCAACAGGACGGATAATGAGAAACTGTTTAGCTTTCGGTCTAAGATATGTTCACACGCATGCCGGCCACGTCACACTCGGCTGTGAACCTTTCTAGAAAGCATTGTATATCAGTTTCAAAAGATGCCAGCAAAGTAAATATCATCTTCAAACAGCAACATTCTCGTCTCTACATCTCCTCCGCTGATATACTCATCACACTGGCGGTACTTGACTGCCCTGCCCTGTCCATGTACAAGAAAAACATGAGGGGACAGAACGAACCAGTGCCAATGCTGGAAGCTCTAGACTAACCGTCAGTTTATCTGACGCAGCATGCTGTTCTCAACATGTAGCGATTGGATGGCTCGTAGCAACGTGCCATCGATCCCACTTGTTTGCTGGCACGCCCCGCCCAAAGCTTGCTGCGCGGTCATAGGCTCTCTCCTTGTCCACAAAGCTCACGTAAACTTGATGCGCGAACTCCCACGATTTCTCAACAATCTGGCGTAGGGCGAAGACTTAATAAAAGAAGTCTGGGCCTGGCATGAAGCCACTGGATGCTGGAGCACCGCTTTTCTTGGATTTTAGATATAGCTATTACGCCGTATCTCCATTCAAACACCTTTACGCAAATTTTTCACGTGAGGCTCAATACGGTAATGTCCTGATAACTGCAGCACTTTCCATGGTCTCCGTTCTTAAACAGGAGTACAGCAACTCAGTTTGCCAGTCTACTGGTGTCTTTCACGTAGCCACTGCAGTTTCACGACGTGTAAGATACAACGTACCCTGCTTGCCTCAAGCTTTGAGCATTCCACGATGGATTTAACTGATTCCAGCAGCCGCGCCACTTTCAAGCTACAGAGAGTTTCTGTGACTTCATCTACTAAAAGACCAATATCCGTTGTCAGCTGCTTCAGGCTAATCTTCCTGCAGTTGCTCAAGGTTAGAGTTCCTCCCAGAATTTTCGTCATCGTAGAAGCATGTCCCCATCCTTTGTAAAAGGGTGTCCGGACTTGTCTTTCAGGACCGTTTGACTGCCATTCTTTCTCTCTCGCAAGAGGCGGATCGCCTACCGGAATACCTTATTTGCCGCCTGAAAACTAGACTCCAACACCTCATCAGTCTTTTTCCAGGTATTAGCTTTCGGTTTCGCCACTGCTTTCTATGCCACCTCGTGGCTTCTTCGTAACGAATGTTATTCGGTTCTTTGATTCCAAGCTGTCTCTTGAATGCAGCCTTCTTCTCGCTGACAGTCAACCTACTTTCAATATAAGTAACGACTGAAAATTTTTACCTGAAATATTTACATATGACGCATTCTTGTACAAATGGGACCAGGTTTCGGCAGAGTTTCCAGTCTTCATCAGCCAAGTAAGAGGACTCACCGATATTCCTTTACCTTTATAAGTACATTTTAGAAGTCCGATATTATGCAATATTAGCTATCTGTAAGTTTGGTCTTGACCATCCACCATCTTGCACTCGTCATCTTCGGCATGTACTAACGTTCATGGTTTTTCCCCTATATCGAATTTGAATGATTTTGACTTGAAAGTCCTTTCCGCGGAAGATCCATGTTTCGAACGTTTCTGTCCCATAGGCCGGATTCATAACGTTTTCCGCGGTTTGAATGAACGTTTCCAGCAACATCCTTTCAAAGATCGTCCACGCCAAAGCAAAGCAATGGGTCCTGCTCCCACGAAGTCGATGTTGCATCTAATTGTAGTACGATGATTAGTCGTCCTAAAGTTATTTCCAGCTTTCACGATGTATCTTGCCACCTGACCACTCGTTCATGCTGAGCAACTCTGAACCACAATGGCCGTGATGTCTGGCCACTGTATTGTAGTTTGCAAGTCAGGCAATCGATCTGGTACACCATATCCGTTGCTGCCCCTAGGGATATCCGGTCTTTTACTTTCGTTCATTGTGATCTTAGTTTCGCCTTAGACTTAAGCAACTCTGATGTTCGCTGAGTTTATTAACAGCGTGGCAGATTCTGATAGCTCAAAAAATAAGGTATATAGGAGGTAAATGCGGGTTCTCGCTTTTGTAGTTCTACACCATGCTTTCCGGAAGAACGTTTTTGGCATCCATTTCGTTCCATTGCGTGGTAAATATGCCTTACTTTTTTCAGAACCCCAGGATCGGAACTTTGGATCCGCGTAGAGAAGACCCACAAAGTCAGAGTAATTCCGATCAGATGTATTTGAATAAATGGCCATTCCGTTGGTACGTGTCGAAGATGACGAGTGCGAAATGACAAATGGTGAGGACAAAGCTTAATGACCAGAACTAATACTGAGGTAACATTCCACTAGTAACCTGTACTCATAAAAGTAAAGGAATGACGGTGAGTTTGTGGACCATGATTGAAAAGCTTCGAACCAGGGTACAAGCCGCTGAAATGGGCTTTCTCAGAGAGTCGCTGGCTTTACGCGTCTCGACGTGGTCCAGAATAGATTCATCTGGGAGAGTCTTGGTGTACAGCCTCTGCTTACCCAGATTAAGAAGTCAGAGCTGCGATGGTCTGGGCATGTGTTGCCAGTGCCTCCAGAAAGAAAGGTTAAGCAACTGTTTCTTGCGAAACCGACCTACAGAAGACCCATGGAACGGCCAAGATTAACCTGATGCAGATATATGGAAGGAGTCTGTTCCAGACTCCAGCTGTCTTCTGCTGAAGCTCAGACTCTGGCATAAGATCGTAAACGTTGGAAGCTCTGTCTGACGCGTCCGCCTCAGCGACCTGAAAGGAGAAGCGGCCACAGAAAATGAAGATGACGGTGAGTTTCATTACTTGGCTGATGAAAGCTGGGAACTCCGGCTGAAACCTGAGTCCATCTATAAAAGAATTTGTAATGTGTAAATATTTCAAAAGTTTTCCATCGTTATTCACGTATCCCACGAAGTTGTTTCTTTGAATTAATACATTTAAGATATGTCAAGTGAATACATCCGTAGAAACTTCCTTTGATGGTACCACCTTATAACAGTTAACGGTCCTGACAGAAAATGCAAAAAATTAAACTTTCCTCAAAGTAAATACACCGTTATGCACAAAAAGAGTAGAAGAGTAGGTCGATGTTCAAGGAAAATACAGAAGATGTGCGCGGAAAACTTCAAAAAACCCAAAAAACTTTTAAGATTAAATCCATTAATCAACTGGTTCAATATATCACAATGGCTAGAGCATTTGATGCTAGAAAAATAGGCACAAACAGAGGCAATCAGATGGCAGAAAACGACGGCTACTTGAACCTTGCGATGCGCAATCAGCGTTATTCCTTTTAACTGTTCGTAAAATCTCGCCGTATAAGTCATCATCCCCAGAAGCAACACCGTTACGCTGTACTGGTCGTTAACTGCTTCGCCCTGTATTCGGCTATGATCTTATCCCGTTCGTTTGGAGGTGGAACGATGGGCGCAATTCCTTCTGCTCTTCGTTGAAGCATAACGGCATTCTGCAAAGAAAAATGAAGTAGTTTAAAACATTCTTCTGATGTTAACTGAATACCCAAAACTTTTTGCAGTTCCGATAATTTTGAAAATAAAGGTCGCACTCCCTTTGGTTAAGATAATTTTCTTCTACACAACGCAAGGACAACAAATGTTCCTAAAACGGACACGTAAAGGAAAGCCAACACACAATTTTTCCAAGGAAACCTCGCTGCAAGGGTTAGTAAGTCCAGGAATCTTTGGCTCTGGAGGAGGACGAATGTACGCCTGCCGAACATCCGGCATTTTGACGAGTAATTCTAAATTTTAAAATACTGCAAGTAACAAGTGACCGCAGAAACGAGACGCGGATTTACAACTGCACATACAGGCAGACAAAATATAACTGTACAAATACATAGGTTAATAAACAGACACACAAACAGACAGAAAACAGAAGAGCGACAGGCAGAAAGGTGTAAGGCAGACTGCAAGATAAACATATGTACAGAGACGGATAGCTAAATACCTCGAGGGAGACCATATACAGACAAAAACTCAGAGAATGCCATCAGGCATGACGTATGGATCAACAGGTTTCTGTGTATGCTTCAGCAAGATCAGGAGTTACACAGAGAGACAACAATTCACTCGCTTTCAATGCATGCTGTTCCTTTTTGATTGTGAGGGCAGCTGTATGAAGACGCCTTTCCACTACGCTCGATTCTGCGCCAAATGGACAAACTTAATGGTTCGGATTCCAAGGCGGTACAATGACGGCATCTCTGCATGATCGAATCATCTGGTATGCGATCTGCCGCTTCATCGATTTCCATGTCACTTTTTTATGGTCTCTTGGTCATATACCCAATTTATCGTAATGTGGCCATTTGATCTGAAGCAGCAGCTCAAATTAAAGATATTTCTGACTTCCGGGGTTGCTCAGTCCGCAGTGTCGGACTCGGAACCAAGAAGTCGCGGGTTCAAGTCTCGATCTAGGTCGTTTGCTTGTCATCGTTCTGAGGCTGATAGATGAGCACTAATATGTGGGAAAGAAACACGAGACTACGCAATATATCTGTCACTTTGCTGCTAGTGACTGTGCCTTTAAAACAAAGCACTGTCAACTGATGGCATGGAACTCGAGATTAGAGCCAAGAAAGGCGTCAGAAATAATGGCCCTATCAAGAAAGTGCTCTGAAGACCTACGTTCCAACGGTTAAAAATTTTTGTGTTCTGGATCTTGTCGAGTCCTGCCTGTCATAACTTTAAGCTCCTCTGAGATATTAAATCTTTCTACCTGATCAAGCTGCGTTCCATTCACCTTCACCGCATACTGTGTGGCTGTTCTTGCCAATACAACAGG